TTTTTGTAACTTTCTCTCCAAGTCACAGTAGACTCCTTTGTTGTAATAAAAAGAACAATGAACCCGGGTCATGTCTTACTGCTCTGGCGTGTCTAGCTTGAAATACATGGCAGTACAGCTGGGCGTCGGTGCTGCCCGGGTTGTGGGAGACAAAGGCGAACTGGGCGTCGATGGGCCGGGCGGTGGACAGGGAGACTCTACGCAGGGCATGAGCCATCAGTAGTTTCTGCGGACGAGAGACACAAGAACCCCTGAAACAGCTTCAACTTAAAGCGAAAAACAACACCCAGGATCAAGCTATGAGCGTTTAATTCGAGATAAACAACCATACTTACAGTTTCATCCTCATTGTACATTTTCACACCTTTGATGGAGAATTTTATGGATACGGATCTCCTCCTTTTGCACGTCTGATTGAAGACAAACAACATATTTAAGTAACGTACTCTCCATTAAAAAAAACACAAACAGGCATGTTGCTCTTTGAGATACTGAGATACTTAAAAACCACCAGAAGGATCTGGACTCACTCTCAGGGACTTGAGCTGAGCGTGCAGTTGCTCTATCTGGTCATCCAAACAGTGGTCATCCACAGGAAATGAGCCAACATACTTTAGAGCAAAGACATAAGATTAGGCAAACACACACACACACACACACACACACACTCTAATATAAACATAAAGTCACATTTGTAGAGTTACCTCTGCTGATCGGGTCACTGTGCCATCCTCTCTGACTGCTGCCTCACCCATGACGCCTGTTTATCTCTGCAAAACCACACAGCAAATATATCTTAAACCCAAAAGAAAACTAAAAAATGAGAACAAAACTAATTTTAAAAAGCTGTCAAACAAACAACTTAAAGTCAAACAATCACAAAAGTATTCCCATAGGAGGATTTTAAACTTTCATTTTACAGTTAAGTGTAAGTTTGGCATTGTGTTGTCGACTGTGAATCCACATTAACTACATTTAGGACTATTAACTCTGAGACTTCAGTAGGATTTCTGCCTGTTTACTGTTTTGTAAGTTGCGGTTTTAAACGCATTTTTCAGCGCCGTAAAATGCGTCAAAGTCAAAGCTACCACAGGAGAAAGTTTCCTCTCCGTCAGCTGTGAGTGGAGACAACATGACAGACTGTCGGTGGACAGAAACCTTTGAACCGTTTCCGGCCCCGGTGGCTCAACCTGAGCTCACTTCTTTCTAGGTTGTAACAAAGGCTTTGAAATCACAGAAACTCACTTTCTCAGAGTCGGACAGTCTCCACCTTCACCGCCACCTTCACCTCCCCTGCACGCCGTAACTGACACCGAGGTCCTGCTCACCTTTACCCGCTGCGGCTCCGTGGTCCAGGTGTGCTGCTGGCTCGAGGCGGGGCTCGAGAGGGAAAAGGGAAGGAAGGAAGGAAGGAAGGAAGGAGTAAATGAACACCTCTCCTCCTCTTGAGCTATATGACAGTCAAGAAGAAGTTGAATCACTGCACCCTCCCCTTCGCTGTCTCTGTCCACACATTCCTGCTCATTGCGCAATACATCCCGGTGACGTCACACGCACAGCGGTGGGAACGTCACCGGGATCAGCAACATCCCGAAATGCTGCTGGACCCTGATGCATGAGCCACATCAGGGTTTAAAACATGTAATCCGATTACTAATTACCCGTTAAACAGTGTAGTCTATAAACTAACCCAAGTAATGTAACGTGATTACTTAGAAATGTCATGTAAGTGTGTAAGACAACAGAACAATGTGACCTTTAACAAAAAAGGAAAATGGAAAGATTTTTTGCATCAAACATGATATTAAAGAAAAACTGGTGCATTTTAAAATTGTAATCCTGCAAAGTAATCCCCATTTTTACTAAATGTAATTATAATCTTATCGTCTTTTTTTTCTGCAGCTGTAATGGATTACCTTTACCTGCTGCTGCTCTGTGATGCAGGTGTGTCCTTACCTTTTTTGTATCCTGATTACATAACGAAATGACATGTAATCCATTACTCCCCGCGCCTGATATTGATGCATCAGCAGCATTTTGAAGGTAAAGGTAGTTTATCAGCTTTAGATACAGGTCTGTGGTTTAATCCTTATAAAGGGTTAAGTTTAGTTATACAAAACTTTTCTAATCTTTACTTTTTTTCCCAACCAGACAATGTTTTTGTGACACCTCATCAAACAACATTGATAACCACTAGTTTAAATAAATATAATCTTAATACATTTACTTCTTTTGTAACCATACAAACAGAAACTAGTAATTACAGCAGTTTTCAGGTTAACACATCCCATCTGTTGTTGTCTTTGGTTAATGACTTCTTGTCCTGAAAAACGACGTTCAGGAAGTGAAATAGTTAAATCAGGTGAATCATTTAAATCTTTTAATCATTTTCTAAATTCCTTTAAAAGCACATCTGCTGGTCCCAGAAACCCCCAGTTAGAAAACACTCATCTATAGCATCATTAATGAATGATTAAGCTCAATAAAACACTTACTAATACTACTTTATGTTCTGTCCCAGTAAACTAAATGATTCAAAAGAAGACAGCAAAAGTTTACAAATATAGCCATTTTATTCATGACTTGGAAAAAAAAAAAAAAAAAGCTTAACAACACAAGGAATACATGCATGCAGGGTATGTATGAGCTACTATCCTCCTTTTTCTTATTCACAACACACATTTCTTACAGTTTGGTACTGAATTACAGCTGTGAAGCAATAAAATCGATTTATGTATTATGTTGTTTTTTTTTTTGTTTTTACACACACACATCAAAAAGGACACTTCCCCCCCCAATGTGACTTTGAAATGAATACTAACTGTTTTTATTCTGTTAAATCCTTAAACCTGTCAACCTGCAGGCTTTATCTTTTTCTGGGGGCAATTTTTATGTTTTAAATAAAACAAAACAAAACATCAAATCATTGTTAATTCATAATACTCATAATTTTATGGAGGACAAATATGGATAAAAAGAAAAAATCTGATTTAAATGTGGCCAAAATATTGTAATAATAACCTTAAAATCTGTGTTGTATAAAACATTATTATAGTAACCGTTTTAAATCTTTTTACCCATATTTTAAACGTAAAACCTCATTTTAAACCCTCCAAAAAAACCAACACTGATATTAGGAACGTGTGCTTCCAACACCTAAAGATCGGATGAGGAACGGATATAAAAACGGAAGTCACTACATGGCTCTAGTTACAGTATGTCGGATCTCGCTATGCTTTCCTGATCTGGCAGCTGGTCACACATCTGTTTTTAAAACGGCAACGCTAACTGAGCGTTTTCTACACATGGAGATTAAAAAGGAAAAATTCAGAAACTCTCAATGTACATTAAACTTAACTGGTAGGATAACGTTCTTATTCTACAATTAAAAAAAAAAAATGAAACAAAAACAAAAATAAAAACTACTGCCCCGTTAAAAAGGGAGAAAATGATAAAAAGAGAGAGAGCACTGAAACAAAGCGGCAGACTGCTGCGTATCCAGAGCAGGCCCAGTCCGTAGGAAGGCGCTCCTGGACTCAGTATTTCCCTCTCTTGGATTTACGAGTGGACTGCTTGCTGCTCTTCGCCCCCTTTTTGACTACAGGCTCTTCTTCGGGGGATGACTCTTCAGGCTCGGGCCGCCTCGACCCACTTTTGGTCGCTGGCTTTTTAACTGCGGGCTCCTCCTGCGATGACTTTTCGGACTTGGATCGCTTGGACCCGCTCCTCGTCGTCTCCTTCGTGACCTCCTCCTCCGGGGAGGACTCTCTGTACACGGGCCGCTTGGACCCCCTTTTGGTCAGCTTTTTAACAGCCGGCGTTTTGGGCTTTCTCGAGGGAGCTCCTCTCTTGACGGGCGTGGCTTTAGGTGGCGGTGTGGATTCCTTCTTAGAGGCTGATGGTTTCCTCGCTGATCTCTTGGCTGAAGACACCGCTTTCTTTACCGGAGTCTTCTTTGCGAGGGGCCGTCCTCTGCTTTTAGGTTTTGACCGACTAGCGCTCCGAGATTTCTTGGCCGGTGGAGGACGGCGAGCTTTGGGAGGAGGCCTCTTCTGAGATTTCCTAAGAGAAATTTGAACAGGCAGCTGTTACTTTTAGTAGAAGAAGCGTAATTATGCACAAATCATTGGGATCAGTTTAAATGTTTAAAACTGTTGTGGACATACTCATCTTCTCTAGTGTGTCAGTTTGCAGGAGAAAAACTCTGCCGTGTTCCTAAGTACAGATCAAATTTACACCCACCTCCTACGGGAAGGAGCTTCGTCCTCAGACTCTTCCTCTTCTTCTGACTCTTCCTCTTCCTCATCAGAAGAGTCAGCCGTCCGCCTCTGCCTGGGTGGAGGCGGGCCTTTTTTCTGCGGAATCTCTTTGAACTTGTCTGGGTACAGGATGGTAGGACTTAAGAGAAAATAGGAAAAAAACAATAAGAAGGCAACATAAAGAAACCTGTATCAGCTGTGTAGGCCAAAATCAAACTGAGTGAAATAAATTACAGTATTAAATGGTTAATAATGGAAACAAAAGTAGGTGGTATACCTCGGGTAGAAAGGGAACGAGAGCTGGTAGGTCCCTGTGAAGCCGTGACCCGTGATCTGCTCCATCCAGCCGAGTACTTTACACTTTGTCAGGGTCCTCCTGAGTTTGGCCACTACAAGAACAGAGTTCACCTTTTAGTGGCAGACTCATCGTGCAGTGGATTTAGAGTTTATGTTACAAAACAAATCCTTAAAGTGAGAGTCCACATGTCCATGATACAAACATTAACCAATTCTCTGAAGCCTCCTTTTTTCTTTTTGGAATAATGTGACTAAATGTGTCCCTTCAGTGTCAGGCTTGTGTGTGTGTGTGTGTGTTTTGGTTTAGACACATTTAACCGCCCTGAAAACCCATTTTCACAATCAGCTACTATCAGTGTGTTTGTCCTACAACTAATCTAATCAAACCACACCCACAACTTTAGTAATGAACACTTTATAGAAATCAACGAACAAGCTAGAGATTAATCAAGTGCAAAAAACCAATGCACTCGCCAAACCTCAACGGGATTATATGTTCATAAGGTCCAGTGTGAAACATTTAGGACGATCTATTGGCAGAAATTCAATATAATATTCATAGGTATGTTTTCATTACTAAAAATAAGGATTGTTGTGTTTTTGTGACCAGTTTTTAATCAAACACTGGCTCAAAAACTATGAGTGAGAACGAGGGCGTCTTCTTACCTAATAGGTTCTCCCTTCCATCCTTGTTAGCGTCTACTAGGTATTTGCGTAGAGTGTTGGTGCTGCAGGTTTTAGGTTCATTCATGGCTGTGATGGCGGCTGTGATGGCGTCCTCCAAGGCTCCGCCCTTCAGAAGAACCTGGTTACCGGTTCGCTTCAGCTGTGACAGTCAGAAACATTTATCTTTTCAGAATAAGGTCAGCCGCCCTTCACTGAATCTATAGCTTGTAGCCATGTAGTCAGTGTGACAAAGAGAGAGTAGAACGATCATATTGTTTACTGGCACTTATTCCCCCTTTTTTATTTTAATATTTTATAGAGAATATTACCTGGCAATAATTAAGTCTACTGAAATAGTTTAATACAGCAATGGTGCCCAAGGTGGCAGATTGATTGGCACTGTAGACCTTTATCTGGCCTGGAAACAAAGCAGATCCTGACAGAAATGCACAGATAAGGTTGCCAATTGCTCTTCACCAGAATTTGAAAATGTATAAAAACAAAATGAATAAAACAGCGTTATAAGGAGTTTTACCTGGAAAGTCCCTCTGGCTCCTTTCCCAGTGATTTGTTCCAGTTGGCCTTTTTCTACCGCCTTTACCAGCGCTGCCTTCAGGACTTCTGGCCTGAGGACGAACCAGTCAGTAAATCATTCACACAGTCAATAATCCCAGTTAATGAAAAAACAAACACGTGTTTTCGGATGTTTGTGAGCCACTGAAATCCAGACCAGTGGTACAACTGTGTGCCATCTATAAAGGAATAATACTGACAACTTAACTTTACCACATTATGGCAGTTTTTACCTTTTTAAAATGTAGTTGTTCATTTTAAATTCATGTCTAGAACTCAGTTTCAGCGAGCATCAATGATCTTGGATGGATTTATCTTCTATTATCAAGAAAAATATTGAACTTTTGCAGGTTACAGCCTCTCAAATGAAACAGGTTGCTTGCATCTACTCCATTTTATGTAATTAATAGTTCAATCTTTGGTTTTTCCAGGTCAGACTGAGCTAACTGGAAACATATAACACTTTAAAAGACCAACAACAACAACAACAACAGATGAATCAACAGGAAAAAAGCAAACGTGAGGCTCTGTGTGTACCTGCTCTCGATGTTGAGACTGGGGAAGTGCTGCTCCAGGTATTTCTTGATCAGATTGTAGGAGGCCTCTTTGGGCTCACAGAGCCGAGTGATGATGAGAGGAAGAGCATCTCCCAGAGACTCTGTCTTCTGAGCAGCTTTCTAAAACACCATCCATTTACAGACATGACGATTACAACCAAACACATCCCAGTCTCATAGGGAAAAATGGGAAAAGGAAACTGTTGACACTAAGTCATTAACATAAGGATTAGATAATGTGCTCATGCTCTTTGCTTGCTGAGAGTTAGATGAGAAGAAGATCAATAGCACTCTCATATTCAGTACCTCTACTATAAAGCTCATGGCTCCAACAATAACACAATCCCAGCAGCTCTAAAAGGAAGCGATTAGCACGTTTTATCTACATACCTTAGACAACGGGGTCTGCTTCCCAATGGCGAAGGTTCCCGAAAGGCCTTTACCCTTCAGCTGAGTGAGACAAAGCACAACAGACCGTAAACAGACCTGACAGATGTTAATGAATATTTGTGGCGTATGAACATTTGCCGAGCGTCACATCATAGCGCAGCAACCACGGGGCAAAGCAGGCCTCCGAAAGTTGAAGCAGAGTGCATGAGGCTTTGAGAGCGATATTCAACATCTGAAGAGTTTGCTGTATTATTATTTTTTTTTTAACCCTTTCAAAACTAAAAATACGAGGCGTGAAGTAAAAGATTAAACTGTTCATTCGTCTACTCAAACACAAGCTGCAAACATACAGTAGTGATAGGGCTGCTCGATTATGGAAAAAATCATAATCATGATTATTTGGGTCAAAATTGAAATCACAATT